ATATTTAGACTCTGGTTGTATTTTTTACAAAGCTTCGATCTCATTAATGTTGGAATTTGACATATTGACATCATGGTATGTGCAAATCTCMAGTTAATAACTTTGCCAAGAGGGATAAAAAGAGGAAAAACCGGATGTATCTACCATCTAATTCTTTCCAGATTACTTGCCCTCTTCTTATCCCGATTTTCGAATTTTTCCTGCATCTTAAATCAATCAAAATCGACCCACGACCTCTTGATATGAATCAGATTGACAGCTCTGAAGTTTTAGCTCGAGTTGTCCTGTTAAACATTYCTGTAAAACGCAAATATTGCAGGCGTAGTAATTGCGTCAGCCGTTTCCACCGTCACGCGATATCTACTCGAAGGTGATATACAAAACTCCGTACATTTCGCTGCCAGCAAAGGCCGTTGATAGTGAAAATGGCCTCTACACGAGAACAGCTTGAACCTAGACAACCTGGTTCCCAAATGAATTCGACGGRTGAACGAAATGAAAGAGATGAAAGCGTTCAGTCGCCGTCTGGGACAGGGTTAAAAAAAGAAGTAGGGCTTCTCAGTGGTGTTTCTTTGATCGTTGGTTGTATGATCGGTTCTGGAATCTTTGCTTCCCCAAAATGGGTCATGCTCTTCTCTGGGTCTGTCGGCCTSACTATGATTGTGTGGGCTTTGTGCGGACTGTTGAGTCTACTGGGATCTTTATGCTACATTGAGCTCGGTCTTGCTGTGCCTTTATCCGGCGGAGAATATGCTTACTTGGCAGAAGCCTTCGGTCCCATGGGAGCGTTTCTMTTCTCTTGGACTCAAGTTCTAGTTTACAGGCCATCTTCGTTTGCGATCATTCTTCTCACATTCTCGTACTACGCTATCGAGCCAATCTTCCCTGGATGTAGCGGACGCGAAAGTTTACAACCTCTGGTAAAACTAGTCACAGCTCTTACCATGGGTAAGTCAAATAATGAAAAAAACCTTTTTGTTCGTGGTGTGTTGCCTTCGTGTTGTGCAAAAAACAAAAAAAAAAAAACAAAAAAAACGCGCGCTTTTTCCATGCGCAACGTGAACTTTGACTCCAAATGTTTTTATGACAAAATAAAACTAGGTCTGTTTTTTTTTCCTTCTTGTGTAAAACTAGAAAGTTACTTTAAAGGTTCGATATATAACAATTTATGGGAATCATTCATTTTTATATGATAGTATCTATAGATTCCTTGTTCTCTTGCGTTGAAAAATACGTTTGTTTTGAGAAAATTCATCTCAAGAACCGTCATGGAAAGCGAAGACTGAAGGCCAAGGAGATTCATTTTGTTAAGCATTTGCTTCGGTGACACTGAGCTGTTGACTCAATCACGACAGATAAACTTTACAAAAAGCTATAGAGTGCACATCAAGGCATTCCTTTCGATTCTTTCATTAGCAATTGTAAACATAAGTTGGCAAGGTTTTTTGCGTAGCATTTTGTAATTNTTTTTTTTTTTTTTTTTTTTTTTTTTTTTTTTTTTTGTAAGGTCGATTCTTTGTCGTAAGTACCCTTCATTGAGTGAATTTTTTTTTTTGAAAGACCATGGTAAATATGATTATATTGAGCTTATATTTCCCAATACAAACCTTTGTAACAGTCACTTTTTTTTGAAAGACCATGGTAAATATGATTATATTGAGCTTATATTTCCCAATACTGCTACACATTGGAAGTCGATTTAAACGTCTGGTTTTAATGTAGATATATTGATGCCAACTTTGGGGTTACGAGTCTGAATAGTTGRTGTTGTTATGGTTACCGTACGCCTCAACTACAATCCACGAACACGTGGGTGAGCCGTGCAACGTCCTTGTACGGATATTTGTACATCTTTTTATAAATTATCAGCCTATGGTTTAATCTGTTCTTCTTTCTTGATCTGTCCTGTGAGAACAAGGGAAATATAAAGCGATCCATATGTGTTTTTATATTTGATATCCTTCCAATCAAGTTGACTGAAGAGGCGAGCAAAGGTTATTGCGATAAGGAAGTTCAAGGGGAGAGTTGGCCTTCTTCGAGTCTTATTTATGAGTCAGTTTTGAACATCAACGGCGTTAATCCATCTTTTCATATCCATTTTTGCGTGAATTTGTAAGGTCACAAAATAATCTACCGAAGAGTGGGGAGAGTCATGACAACGGAGTAAAATGGAAGAACCAAAATTCCCCAACTCCACCCCAGTTAAAAGCAARACTGTCTTTCAAATATAGGGCAGCGTTACTGAAAAATAAAATAAGACATCATGTCGACAATATAGCTTTCAATCTTTTTTGCATTATTAGCATAACAAAAAGGCAGTTAAGTGCAAAACAAAAGATATATTGTGTTAGGCAACYGCGAGTTTATTAAACGGCTTAAAAAACTCCTGATGTATGTTCTCATACTATACCGAATTCTTTACGAAATGAACCAAGTTTGATAGAGAAAATCCAAGTTAAAGTTTATACAAATGAAGGCGAATCTATATCAGATATAAAACCTCCTTCATGGTCATGATTTCTATTGTGTTTCCTTCATGAATTATTAAGGTAATATAAATACTGACCTATAAGCGAGTTGTACGTCATCTCATACAGGGTTCCGTAGGACACTCAGTTTCCTCATCGTACCTTAAATCTTTTCTTATGACTTGATCATTTCATATGGATTTTTCTTCGATTTGGAGCTGAACTTCAGTCGAGTGCTAAATCAGGATTCCAACATCTCTCCTATAAATCTTGTAAACAGTGGTTTCAACAGTGGTAAACAGTCTTACTCATATTCAATAAAAGGCAGTCAAGCTTAATGACAATGGCCGCAAAAACTGAGAATGCGGTCGGGCTTCGACGCCAAGTAGGTCTATTAGGAGGAATCTCCATCATAATAGGAACAATGATTGGATCAGGGATCTTTGCTTCACCACGTTGGGTCATGGTAAACGCCGGTTCTGTWGGATTAACTCTTATTGTATGGTCTGTATGCGGCGTACTAAGTCTCCTAGGATCGCTAGTTTACATTGAACTTGGTCTAGCGATCAAGGAGTCTGGCGGTGAGTATGCGTACTACAAAGAGGCTTTCGGTCCTGTTGCCTCTTTCCTGTACTCTTGGACGTGTATCTTGGCCACTCGCCCTGCTTCGCTGGCCATAACACTCTTGACGTTTGGCTCCTACACACTGGAGCCTTTTTATCCTCACTGCAGTAACCGGAAAGATTTAGTTCCCGTTGTAAAGATTCTTGCAGCATCAGCCATCGGTAAGATAACCTCTACATGGGGGTGTCGTATTTAAAGCTAATAGTATTATATTGAAGAGAAAAGATTTTACCATCCTCGGGAACTCAGGGGTAAAATTCTGTCGCTCATTTAGCTCTAGGTTCCTGAAGATGAGCTTTTACGAAATCTAGTTAAYGTTTTGAAAATCTATAATCGAACCGTTATTGTCATAGTTTCCGGCTGTTGAAAWTTTTGACCCTCTTATAGTGTATATGAAAATATTTGCTTTACCTTGACAAGTGCCTGATAACCTTTTATTGGCTCTCAATGTTTGCGTCCAAAAATAACGCACGGAA